GAGGCGTAGCTGGCAAGCGGCAGAGACGGAGCAGGCCGACCACCAGCTGGCCCAGCCCAAGGGAGGTAAGGCACCCGCCGGAAAAGGGGGAAAAAAATGGCGGACAAAAAAAATGGCGGACAGCCTTGCTTGGCGACCCCCATGAAATGGTCGATCGACCCCAAATGGGGTCCCGACCCACAGGTTGAGAACCACTGATCTAAATGGTGCAGCAATGCATTGGTTCAAGTCACAGTAAGCAACGGTTACTTGAACAGACCACAGTGGCATAGTTCAGACGTGACCATTATGGGGGTGTGCAGCCTGAAAGAGATTTGGAAATCGTCCCACGGATCTCATGTGCACACGGCACCTCTTTGCTAATCAAATAAACAGCCATATTCCCCCCCCCCCAAGCTTTCCTATGAGCCTGAAAAAAGATGTGGCTGTTTTCAGGAGGAATCTCCTTAAACCAATGCGAGCCTTGAAGCACCCTGGAGCTTGAAAAGAGGGGCTGCTTTAGCAACGAGCAGCTGCTGCTCACACCAGGGGGTCTGCAACAGAAATGCCCACTTAGCCATAAACCCTGTCTTCTCATCACAGTCCCTAGGCTGATACATCACCCTAAACAACAAACCCTATAAAAGGGAAACAAGCACCCAAAGACATTAATGTTTTGCACCATGTATAAAATCAACCTTATTTAGTGGATGAAAAGAAAAACCCAGGTGTAAAAATCTTAATGTGTCGGGGTGTGATATGTACAGGGCACAGCAGGGTCCATCTTAATACCCATTAGTACATTTTGATTTGAATTTCAAAGGGAGACCGTATTAAAGGCTCTTTACTAGCCACAGGAAAGCAGTAACTAAACCATGCTATTATTCCTTTAGGACTTGGAAAGAAACACTACTTATCCCCAAGGTCACTCAGGACCACGGCCATCAAGTCCGTGAACACAGGTAAGTGTCAAACTCATGGCTTATTTTGGGAAACGTCAGCCACACCAGCCAGGGCACAAACAATCCAAGAACGCCCTTCAGACAATATCACAAAAGCCCAAACGAAGTGCCAGGAATGGGGCCTCCTCTTACCAAGGGTGTGTGTGTGTGTGTGTGTGTGTGAGCAAGGGGAACGTGAGATGCTGAGGTAGCCGTGCTGGAGCGAGCAAGGAGGTCTAGCCAGGTGTCAGCTATGGGTGACATCTCCAGTCTCCAAGGGCCACTCGTGGCAATTTGCCCAAGAGGAGAGCGTCTTACATTGAAGGTCCACATCAGGGGCATCGTGACCCTCTAGAGCAGGGGTCCTCAAACTTGGCCACTTTAAGACTTGTGGACTTCAACTCCCAGAATACCCCAGCCAGCCGTGGGAGTTGAAGTCCACAAGTCTTAAAGTGGCCAAGTTTGAGGATCCCTGCTCTAGAGAGTCCAGGCAGAGCTGACCGTGGGGAGAGGGGGGGGGCACACACAGCATGGCTTTGGCCCGATGCCAGCTCTCCTTTGGCACATGGGCTCCGTGAACATGCACAGGCTTAGGAAAGGGGCGGGGCCTGCGTCACCATGCCACAACACGAGAGCGAAAGAGGCGGGACTCCTGCCAATCTCAGCAGGCCAAACACAAAAACATGCAAACATGCAAACAAACAAACAAAAAAAAAAGCACAACTCAAAGACCGGTCCTTCCTCTGACTGCTCCATCAGTGAAATTGGTTGGTTTTTGTTTTTTTTTAAAAAGCCAACTTTCTCAGCAGTCTGAGGATAAATGTGCTAAAAATAGAAATAAAATGGCCCCGAAGGTTATCCGAGAGCACTTCTGTGGCACACCACAGAGCGAAGGTCTTGGCTCAGGAGGGAATTTGTGGTGTGCGCATGGGAGGCTTTAGCACTCTCCTCCATCGACCCATCCAGACAGCTGGACTTGAGAGAGAGCGATCCAGAAAACACAAATTTTGATGCGTGGCAGAAAAGCATGAGTGACAGCTGTCTCCCCAGCGGGCTGGGGGCAGGGAGAGGACCACATCTGTAAAGGCCCCCTTGGATTAGCCGGCTCTGCCAATCAGGGCATCAGGCTCAACTATTCAGCCACGTTGCTCGCCCGATCGGAGCCCCCGAGCCCCCCAGCCCCCGAATGCAGGCCACGAGGAGAGGCCGCCAGCCCCTTGGGGAGCAGCCGGCCGGTGCAGTGGGGCTGGCGTTACCCCCAGGACCCCCTCTC